TAACTTCAGGCCAAACTCCTTTAACCGCCGCAAAACCCTCATCAGCCGCTCTTTGTGCTCTTCCAGCGTCGGAGCAAACACGATTAAATCATCGATGAAGACGAGTGCTTCTTTGAGGTTCAAATCGCTCATACACTTCTCCATCAACCGCTGAAAAGTGGAGGGTGCATTTGTAACTCCTTGCGGCATGCGGTTAAACTCCCAGAAGCCTAGAGGACAGACAAAGGCGGTTTTGCATTTATCAGAGTCCTCCATCTCGATTTGATAGTAGCCGGACTTCAAATCTAGGACGGAAAACCATTTTGATCCGGACAGGGCCGTAAAGGTGTCTTCTAGCTTCGGCAGAGGATATGCATCTTTGATGATTTGAGTATTTAACTTTCCGTAGTCTATGCAGAGTCTTACGCTGCCATTCTTTTTGCGCACCACAACGATGGGGGAAGCAAATGGTGAGTCCGATTCACGTATTACGCCAGACTCCAACAGCTCTTGCAAATGTTGTTTGACAGCATCCAGGTCTTGTGGGTGGATGGGCCTGGGTCTTTGCTTAAAAGGTGTTGGGTCTGCAAGTTTGATCTGGTGCTTTACTTTGTCAGTGCAACCAAAATCAAGGTTATGGTGAGCAAAGACTTCAGGAATGCTATCGAGCTTGGAAATAATACGTTGCTTCCACTCCGGGGAGATGGGGAATCGGCAAAATTGTAGTTCAGCTTTGACTCTGATGACTTTAGGCTCTCTTGCTGGCACACACTCTGTTGCTTGTGGAGGACTGACTGGAAAGCACACAGCTCTGTGATAGCGGTACGGGCTGGAAGGATGACATCGTGGTCAGACTCATTTGTGATGACAACTGGGAGATGGCATGGTTGGAGTGAGGAAAGATCCACCAGGCATGACTGGACCATCAGGCCGCTGGGCAGGGAGAAAGATGTTGGATGCTGGATAACGACAGACTTCTCACCTTGTAACACCGGAGCGATGGATATAGCATCCATGACAATGGTTTTCCCAGCTGCGAAGGTCTGTGGACTGTTGGTCTGTAGCTTTAAAATGCCATGGTGATCATCAGTGGCAAGCTTGTGTCTTAGCTCTAGGATCTTCAGCACAGCTCTATACCCATATGGTACTGGTTGGAATTCGGAGTCTTTGATCTCAGAGTGTTTCTCGTACACCACATCCAGTGTGCTGGTACCAATGAGGACTGAGGGCTGTGATGATCTGAAGTCAGGTACCACCAATGCCAGAGTGTTCACATTCACTGACTGTCCCAGGAACTCAGCAGGAAAGGTAATGTCCAACTCCACAAATCCTAAGTAGGGCACAGCCTGTCCGTCTGGCCTTCCACCTCCAGCAGGTTATTTAGGGGCTTGATCTCGTGGTCGGACAAATATGTGTTATAGAAGGAGTGAGTGACAGTGGTAACCTGGGATCCTGTGTCAAACAAGCAATGAAAGTTTGAGCCTTTTATCTTGACCTGTCCTATACTTTTTGTTCCGATTAAACCTTTGGGAAAGGAGTTTCGTGGTGAAAAACGTTGATTTTGGGGACTCAATTCAGTAGCAGCTTCCGCCTGTCCCTCTGAAGAAGCTGCATTTAGTTTAACTGTTTGGAGTTCTTGGCATCCCAAGCTTGCTGCTTCTGTTTCAGCTGTCGGCGCTTTTGTTCAACAAGGCTGGAGTTGGCTAAATTTGTGCAGGCCGGAACAATATGTCCATCTTCGCCGCACTTGAAGCAAAACCAAGGCTTAGGCCGGGTGGAGACATTGGCTTTTGGTTTTGACTTACTCTGCTGGTAGTCTGGTGCAGAGGTGGGAATTTTCTTTGCCAGCAAAGCAGACATCTGATTTTACAGTTTTAACATTTGTTGTTTCAGTTCATCAATGGCGCTGGTGTCTGTGCAGCCACAGATGCAAGAGGATGCACTCTGAGACTGCAGGTTTGCACGATGTTTCGAGGATGTAATGTGTTTCTTCATTAAGGACTCTTTGGCCGACTGCCTGTCCTCTTTTGTCCGGAGCAGGAACAAAAGCTCAGAGAAGGTAGGTGGATTGTCTTTTTTTTTGCTCAAGCTGTAATTTTGTAATGACAAGATTGTCCCAGCATCCTCTGCAGAACTGTTTCAATAGATGCTTGTCAATGTCTCTTGCTGGGATTCCGCCTCGCTTCACGACTGTGCTCAGTGTCAGTTGCAGTCTTTGCAGGAAGGAAGACGGTCGCTCTCCATGGTCCTGAAGAGTGTTTAGGAACTGAGCAAAGAGCTCTTCTCCATCCTGGACAGTGGCAAAGGCTGAGTCGAGCACTTGGGTGAACATGATTGGTAAAGAGTTGGGTCCCAAGCCTTTAACAAGGTCGGCAGCTGGAGGGAGCAGGCTTTCTAGAATGCGCCTTGTAACGTGCAGTGGCGACAAGGTCGGGTCAGCTCACAAGAGTTCAATATGGGAACGCCATGAGTCGTAATCTGCCTCATTACTCGGTTTAGGAATCCTTCCAGAAAAGGTTCGTAGGCGCAGTGGGGACAAGGATTGGAGGCTCATGTCGTCCTTTCTCACAATGTGCTCCACGACAACCCTCTGTACTTCTGGGGGATTCAAGTCGTGTCCAGAAAGAGAAATCCGCTGTCCTGGATTGGCAGCTGTACTGACTAGAGGAGGGTCTGCTGATTGGCCAGTGGAGGAACGACCCACCGACTGAGAAGTTGATGGCATCTGAGACACAAGGGTTGAACCTGACATGGTCTGCCCCGTCTCCAGTACATCAATTGTAGTCTCTTGTCTCTCCTCATCTTCATCATCATCATCATTTCCTCCGACTTCTGCCAGGTGTCCACTTATTTGATCCGTTACCTCTTTAATAACTTCTTCAAAGGGTTTTCCACATCGATAAGCAAGTTCTCTCCGGGTACTCCGGCTTCCTCCCACGGTCCAAAAAACATGACTGTTAGGTTAATTGGCTTCTCTAAATTGTCCTTAGGTGTGAGTGTGTGTGTGAATGGTTGTTTGTCCTGTGTGTCTCTGTGTTGCCCTGCGATGGACTGGCAACCTGTCCAGGGTGTACCCCGCCTCTCGCCCATTGACTGCTGGAGATAGGCACCAGCACCCCTCGCGACCCCAATTGGGACAAGCGTGTAAGATAATGGATGGATGGATGGATGGATGGATAAGCAATGCGTTTGAGCTCATGGAGGTAATCAGTGGAAGGTACAGTGGTGGCGGGAATGATGGCAGTACTCCCCCTGTGGCTGTGGCATAAAGTTCATCCGCAAGTAGATTTATTTCACAGACTAAACCAGACTTGCTCTGTGATTCAAATTTATATGGCAAAAGAGGCTTCAATTTATTCAAAGCTGCGTAAGTATCATATTCAACAATCAGGTTTTTGTAAAAAGAACTGTCAGAATCTGTAACAGTAAATGCCATTTTTAAATCCCCATAAGTACGCAAATAATCAATCAACTCATCATCTGCTTGAGTGTTTGTCACACCGGTAGCAAATACACAATGAGAAACCTCCACCCCTGTTCTTTCAATGCAATCCATTTCAGACACTTCTGTTGCAAATTTAGTCAAAAAAAACAAAACAAAAGGAAACAATCTCAGTAATTCACAATGAATATTCAAACATCAGACTCCTGGCTAGCTCGCCAAATGTAACGCTTGTTAAGGCTAGTGATAAGGAACTGACTGTTGTAGCAAGGTGTTATCAGAAGAGGGTTCGTTGAGGAGTCTGAGGTGTGAATAATTATAGAGACAAAAATAAGGTTTAACTAGTTTTGTATTAGGTGGCCAAAGACAAAAAAAAAAAAAAAATACAGACAAAGACACAAACATTAATAACAAAACAACAGTATTTGATTAATTATCCCCAAGGTTCAGTTGGGTTAGATTGTTCAATGTTCATAGGTGTAAAGTCCACACGCTATGGTAATCCAGGGTTGGGAATATAATAGTCTTTATCCTTATAGGAAAGAGAGTCTGTATCCTACCGCACAGGTAGAGGTCTTAACTCGCCATCTTCAGTTGAATTAGGAAAAAGAAGAAAAGTTGTTGTGTACCAGGTTGGAGTGAGGGTGATGTCCTTTTTCTGGCAAAAAAAAAAAAACCTGACCGTTGAAGGGATGACACATTTACAAGTTGATCTCCGTCTGTGTAGTGGGATTATCGCATGACAACATGAGTGGTTTGGCCCAAATTGTGAGAGAGAAGCGATTCTGTAAAAAGTTACACTTGGTGAGGAATTACACAATGTTAGTAAACATTAGGAGATTGCTTTTGTAGCGTTAAAGCACTCACCCGAAAGACAGGTTATAATATAGAATCTTTAGGGAGATCCAGTACTTTTTTTTTTTGAGACGAGACGCCAACAGAGCATGCAACAGCCACAGATGAGGAATAAAGGAGGGAGTGGCACTCTGACTCCGCAGGTAAATAGAGTTGGGGTGATGTCGCACAGGGCGTGGCCCGTCAAATTAAAAAGGACTTAGGAGCTGAGGGTTTCAGCTGTTGGCTTCAGCTTGCTTCTGCTCGTTTTCAACGAAGAAATTAAGCATTTTTCATTTCTTCTATTTCATACCATTTCACCAGTGCCATATTCAGCTTACAGTTTAGCGTAATGCATTCTCAGTGCTGTTTCGCAGGAACAGCAATTTTCTAGTGCACCTTGTGTTTTGCATAAGTAACCTTATGTGTGTTGGCCGTGTTAAGCTGGGTGGGTTATTTACTGTTCTTTACATCGTACTCTCTCTCTTGGTTATTGTTTCTGTGTGCAAATGTGACCATATACATATGCATATATTCAAAGAAAAAAAAAAGGGAAACTGTATTTCTGTGACTGGAATTATTGTATTATGTTTTTTCCCTATAAAGATATTTGGAAAAAAAAAAGAAAAAGATTTGCCTTCAATGAATGCTGCAGGACAGACATACATTTGAACTCACAGGTTTTGTATTGCCAAATCTTACTTACCAACATGTTCTTTTGTGAATATTTGTTCTTTTGCAAAAGGTGATCCTGATCCACTCCAGCGAGGCAGTGAATGCTATAGAAAGAGTCAATTTGGAATACCCTGGCAGAATTTTTTTTCGAAGCGTTTTCCGCTCTGGCTCAGTCACTGAAACCACCACATGTAATGTATGCCTTATGGCACCGCCAGAGCAGCTATGCAACTACACTGATCTCAACACAGATGAGCCCTGGTTCTGCTACAAGCCAAAGAAACTCAGATGTGAGCACAGGGTCACTCACTCTTTTGGAGGTTTCGACAATAAACCAATAAAAATGGAGAAAAGGCTGTTTCAAATGTGAGTATAATACTGGATGTAAGTACAGCTTTTTTGGTTGTTTCATAAGATGCTAGAAAAAAATCAGGGAAGTGTAGAAAGTTATAATGATTGTAATAATTTACATTGCAATGATTTAGAGTGTTATCTCTGAATGTCTTATGGCTCTCCTCACTTCCAGTTTACAATTTTGTCTTAACTCAGCTGTACACAATATGGACTGATTATTATCAATAACAGCATGTACACAGGCCTGTGCCACCTTCCTGGGAGACATCTGGCAAAATTTGACTCAGCTGAAATTTCCAAGACTGCACACCTAGACTGGAGACAATCTACACAAATCACAATGCACCAACAGAAAAACCAACCAACCACCACAACCATTTATTTGAAATAAATGATACAGTACCAAGATATTTTAAAAGGGAAGAAGCTTACCGCTGAGGCTATTGATATTACTTTCCTTAAATCCACAGCTGATGGCCTTATACAGCTGAGCATGTACGATGGTGCAAGTGGTATTGCGCCGATGCCATTTTTTGGCCTGATACCGATGCCCGATACCTGACTGTGCAGTATTGGCCGATACTGATTCCATACCGCTACCATCTTTGAAGTTGATGTGTGTGTGTATATAAAGGACTGCATACTACTTGGATGTAAAATAATTGCCATCATGGCTTTGTCAAGCAGCTGCCTACCTTTGTGAAGCCTGAAAAAGACTAATACAAAGTGAATCCAGTAGAACCTTTTATTGCCTACCTGGAATGGGTGACAATAGCTGAATAAAATTTTGGCTCTCAAAATGGTTTTGGTGCCCTATTAGTTGGTACTCGCTGATACTGATACCACCATTTTAGTGATGGATCGGCGCTCCGCCTGATACTGGTATCAGTATCGGTGCAACACTAGTTACAAGTACGTAACCACTGATTCCTAAACAATATAAAACATACAACTAAATGTATAAATATCCCCTGTGATACACACAGCAACTAATGATTTTAGGACAATAATATTTTCTGCAGTATTGCTTCAAGGTCTTTACATCTCTCTATTTGAACCCTCCCGAGTTCCTTGAGAAGTACCTCGCTGCAGCATGCAGAAAGGTGTGGAGACTGAGCACATGGCCGACTTATACAGTATTTGGAAATGGCACCTTTGCACTCTGAAAATTAAGTGGGCTGTATTTCCTATTCAGCTGCTGTTTGTCAGGTGTTGTGTGTGTGTTTTTTTTTAATCTTCATTGGTGTCTTGTTTTTAATCATTATATTTTTGTAAGATGAAATTAAATACATATCTAAGGTCCAGAAAAACAGCTAATATATTAATAATGCAATGGAAAGAAAGCTCATTTCAATAGAAATGGAAGACAGAAAAAAATAATGTGATAGGTTGAAATAAGGAATGCCCTTTATAGGTTTCTGGGTGGCTATAAAAAAAAGCAGTTTTAATATAGCCCTTAAAAGTACTTCCCTCTGCCTGGAATCCCATCTCTCTGGTTAGCCTCCAGATCTAGACCCAGCAACCCTCAGCCTCTGCCCAATACTGATAACATCTGCCATCCCTCTGGTTCAGATCTACTCAGTGGTAGGTGGTCAGGGCTTTCAAAGCCTTCTCTACTGGCCTAAAATCTATCAGAAACACTAATCTACATTCACAACCTAAACTTTAATTTTCTTCTATCTAACTTTATTTATTTATTCCAAACTATTCGTTCTCTTAATTTTCTAGTATTTCTCTTGGCTGTGCTGCTTCCATTACATTTACATAGTTGCTATGTTTTTGTCCATTCAAATTTCAGGCTTAGTGCTTTGCTATGTCAGTCAAGTCTGCCCAGGCCCTGGGCCCCAGGGCCCTCAGAATCAGCAGTGCTGGTAGATGTTGAATTGACAATTTAGTGAGGAATGCTTTATTCCACCAATCAGATGTGCCAGGGGGTCAGCTAACAGGCTCACTCTTATGTCTGCATTTTATGTCCTATGCTTGGTCAGTTAGAGCAAAATGTTTATAGTCAAGTTCAGCTAGTGAATATCTGAATTTTAAATAAGATTTTGTTATAAAATTTCTGGCCTCAATGGCTGATATCAAATAGATATACTAAGACTTCCTGCACAAAGATAGAAGGATGGATTTTGTATATAAATAACCAGCATCTCTCGTGAATGTTTTATTTTCATGCTATATACTCTGTTTTATCTGCCAATTAGATGGTCATTGAATCTGAACAGCTACTGATGATGTAAATATGGCTTAGCTGTGGTTATAAAGTAGAGTATTGCAGTTGTCTTAACTGGCTTTTTTGCTAATGGATCTCTGTATTCACCTTCACACTAATCTTTCTCTCGTTTATACCTGCGCTTGATACTTTTATATTTAAATACTACCAGTAGTTTCTTTTATTAAAATGTGAAAGGGATTATGTTACCCCCTTGACCCCATTCGTTGCAAGTATGCAATAAACCCTTTGTATTTCCAAGATATATATATATATATATATATATATATATATATATATATATATATATATATATATATATATATATATATAAAAGCGGGAGTGTGTGTGCGTGTATGAATTCGGACATCTTGGAGTTTAGAAGTACATTTAGTTGTGGGGTGCCCACTAAAGGCCTAGGTACAAGCTGTACTGCCTGTCACTGGATCTATCCCTATCCTCCTCCAATCTCCTGCTGTTAGCTCTCTTTGCTCTAATGGGGGGTACAGTCCATGATTTCTGCACAGTTCTCCAGAGCGGGGTACAGTCGGCCAATTCTGTCCTGCTTTTGCACAGTCTCTGCTGGGGGTTTGGTGGTTGATAGCAACAGATCTGAGCCAGATGTCACCATAGCTGTGCAGAGGCAGTTGGTGGCTGAGTCTATCTCTGAAGGCTCGGATCTGCACTCTTTGCAGTTAAGTGTAGTAGAGCAGTGTACAGTAGAGTGGGTGATAGCTAAAGTCTGGGAGCTATGCAAGTAGGATTAATAATGACTTTTAACAACTTTTAAGGGCTAAATTAAAACTGATTTTTTAAAAGCCACTCATGAACCTCCAAAGAGCATCCCTTACTGCATCAAGAGGAAATCTTTTCTGTTTTTGATTGAAACAAGCTTTGTTTCCGCTGCACGCTTTTTCTTATTTATGCATTATTTTATTGGGGTTTTTTTATTTGGACCTCTTATCTATTTAATATATCCTTATAAAACCTATAATCTCTTAAAATAAGAAAACACAAAAGAACCATAGGAAGTAATGCCAGCTTTATTTCCAGAGTGCAAAAGTGCAATTTTTCCGAATACAGTATAGGTCTGTCATGCGATCAGTCTCCGCCCCTTTCTGTATGCCGCAGCAAAGTGTACTTGAGTTAATTTGACACTGAAGGTATGCCTGTCTCACCATGTGAACAGCAGCAAAGGACTTCACAGTTACCTTTACTTTTCAGCGTAAACCCCAGACCTCCGAGTCAAGTCTGGGTCCTTTAAACTAGAAAAATAAACAGAAGACTCTGTAGTTGATAAGTGTGACAGAGATGGGAAAAAAAAAAGAGTAGAGAGAGCTGGTTGACCACTTGCAGCATTGCATGAGAAATCCATATTTATAGATATTGCGAAAAAAACACACAAAAAAAACATAAAAAATAAGAACTTTAAAAAAATACTATTTAGTACTGATCAGTGTAAACAGTGGTTATGCTAGAATAATGAATAAGCAACAACATCATCAATTAATCAAGATTTAAGTGAGGGCTGAGATTTTAATAAGAATTAAAATTTTCTGTTAAATTGACAGTGTTGACAGTTTCATGCATTTCCTGTCCTTTGTTACAGTGGTGTCAACATGAAAGCATCCATTCGGTCAGCAGGATCCTCAAAAATCAATATTTTACCAAAGCTTAAAGGTAAGGGATACTTGATTGTCAGTTTGCAACAATTAGTCATTATTTGCCTAACAAAGGAAGGAAAAGATAATCAGTTTTCAGTTTAAAAAAAAATACATCTTTGTGTAAGTTGCCATTTTAAGTTTTATATTTTTCACTGTCCCATAAAAAAAAAAATTCAATTAATTTCAATTCAGTTTATTAATCATCTCAAGGCACTCTACAGTTCACCAGATCATACAGTCAAATTGATTCAAAGTTTTCTTTCTAAGGAAAACCAGTTGATTGCATTGACTCATTGACTCAAAGGCAATCCCTCACACTAAGCATGCTTGTAGTGACAGTAGAGAGGAAAAACTCCCTTTTAACAGGAAGAAACTCCAGCAGAACCAGGCTCAGTGTCAGCGGCCATCTGGGGTTGGCCTCTGTAATATTTAACTATAAGATATATTAATGCAGAGCAGCTATTTTTAAGCAAAAGTTACTTCTCTTCGTACATAATCACAAAATGCCATTCTTATTTCCTTCCAGTTTCCAATGAAACAGTACCTGCTAATGCATCAGGTAAAGTATAAGTTTACCTTTTCAAAATGCTGATATCTAAAAAAAAAAAAAAAGCGATTTATAAATGACTGATTACATTTACACTTACCTCTTAGGAAAAAGTTTGTGGACCAGACCTGCTGGTTATTACTACAAAGATGCATGGCAGGCTCTAGATGGCACCAAGGTTCATCAGTTCAACAATGCCAAAGCCATAACTCAGTGCCTGAAAGGAAAGGAGGTCCACATGTATGGAGACTCCACCATCAGACAGTGGTTTGAATATTTAATTGCAAAAGTACCAGGTAGAAGCCTAGTAGAAATTTCTTTCCAAGATTCGAACCGGTTCACACTTCTTTCTAATCTGCTTTGTTTTCTGTGTTACTTTCAGATCTTAAGAAGTTTGACCAGAAAAAACCTCCAAAAACAGGACCCTTTCTGGCCTTGGATTATACAAACAACATCTTAGTGACATGCCGCTCCCATGGTCCTCCCCTCCGTTCTCCTCTGATGCTTGTCAGTCAATTACACTTAGTTGCCAATGAACTGGACAGCGTGGATGGAGGCAACAACACTGTTGTAATAATTGGTGTCTGGGCTCACTTCAGCACTTTTCCTGTTGAGGTCTACATCCGACGTCTGCTGAGTATAAGGAGAGCAGTCATGCGGTTGTTGTCCAGAGCTCCAGGTACCCTGGTAATCATTAGGACTGCTAATCCTAAAAGAATTACAATAGAGGAGTCAGTTACCACTGATGATTACTATTTTTTACAGCGTGATAAGATACTCAGGACAATATTTAAAAAAGTCAATGTCCGATTGCTGGATGCCTGGGAGATGACCCAGGCCCACTACCTCCCACACGATGTCCATCCACCGCCTCCTATAATTAAGAACATGATCGATGTTGTTTTGTCCTATGTATGCTTTCCCCAACCTCAAACTTAAAATCAAAGAAATGGAAAACTTTATTAACTGGTTATTAAGGTTATTAGGGGGAGTGGCAGCCTAGTGGTTAGGGTATAGGGCTTTGAATCCCCCAAGGGGATGGGTTAAATGCAGAGAATTAATTTTCCTCTGGGATTATTAGAGTATATAAAAAAATATTTAAAAAAAACTATTGGTGATTAGTAACACTTCTGGCTTGACATCACACATAAATCCTCCAACAGTCAGGAGAGAATTATTAACAAAATCAGGATAAGATTGAATGAATTTAACACTGTGGCCACATTCAATGGAGAATCTTTTAAAATAAGATGTCTGTAAGATATAGAAAATAAATGACATACTGTATTAAAAAGTATACTAAATCCTCAACACTCAATATCTATTTTGTTATTCCATAGCCCATTTAACACTTTAACTTAACATGACGTATAATGTGAATCTATCTAGATTCATCAACACAAGTCAATAGAACAGGTCTGGTAACATATCATATGAAAGACTATCCCAAAAAGCAACTGAAAATGCCCAGATCTGACAACATATGAGAGAAAAGGTCAACATCATGCTAGAGACAAATCAAAGACATATGTGAGGATTTTAAATTCCAGCTAGCAGTGAGGGCCATTATCAGAAACTGTAAAAAATGTGGAATGCTGGGATATTTTTATTATATCAATCATCCGTCCATCTTATTCCGTTGAGGTAACATTGTGGCCGCTGCCTATCTGTGACAGTCTATGGGTGAGAGGCGGGGTACACCCTAGAGAGGTCGTCAGTCTGTCGAAGGGCAACAAAGAGACACACAAAGACATACAACCATGCACAGACACACTCACTCCAATTTAGAGATCCCAATAGACCTAACAGTCATATTTTTGGACTCCAGGAGGAAGCCGCAGTACTCGAAGAGAACCCAGACACGCACAGGGAGAACATGCAAACATGCAGAAAGACCTTGGGCCAGGACTCAAACCCAAAACCTTGTTGCTGCAAGACAACAGTGCTTACAAACTGTGCCATCATGCAGCGCTATATCAGTCATTTTATCTTTTTTTTATGTAATTGTCTTATTTTTAATTCTTCACTTCACAGTCTCACACCTTGTCCAACACCTCTGGATACAAAAAGGATAAGGGCCATTGGACAAAAAAATAAATAATTAAAATACAAAAACGACCACAATAAAAATGGCCATTCAATTCTTATTTTAATCTCTAAATTTGTAGTTATTCTATGAATTAAATTTCTGAATTCTGACTTTATTCTCAGAATTCTCAATTCTGACTTGAATCTCCAAATTTTGAAGAATGTTTCCCTCTGTCCATCCGAATTAAATTCAGACTTCTGAGATTAAACTTAGATTATTATTTCGTTTTTCAATGGCCCTAATCCTTTTCCATATCCAGAGGTGTTGGATCACAAACTGCAGGCTATATTAAGAGTAAGACTTCCCTCTGCTGGCCAAAAAGGAAGCTGCATGCAAAGTAGATAACACCCATGCAAAGGAAAATAAAGGAAAAAAAAAAGATAAAAACAGAACATTCATAATCCCTATTTTGAGTGGATATTATAGTTTAAGCAATGAGTAAATGTCTGGTAAATTATGTGAGGTATTAAAGCCTGTGTAGTTTGTCTGATACATTTCAAAAGGTTATTCCTCACTTTCATTTGCCAAAGTTGCATCTTTTATATAGAGGTTACAGGTTTCTCTGACAGACACACTAATCCATTCTTAGACTTTTAAACTTAAAAAGATTTATTTTTTCATTTTGTATACTCAAGAGAAATAAAGATAAAGATAAAGATATTTTGTTAAGAACAGCTCTCTAGACAATTTCATGTTTTTTAAAGTGCAGCCTTGAAAACAGTAGAAAATACTGTATTTTCGCGACTAAAAGGCGCATATAAACGTCTTTTTTTTCCTTCAATATGTGCGGCGCGTCCTGTAGTGTGGTGCGCCCTATGTGTGTTGTTACTCCGGACATGTTGAGAACACGATGAGAACATTAAAGAGGGAAGTGTGGGCGTGGATTGTGTATAAAAGAACAGGTATGTGCTTTATACGGAACTCCTCATCTCCTCATTGAGGAGATGATGAAAGAGTGGCTAAGGGAAGTGTATGTAATGAGACCAGGTGTTTTTTTCCACGCATCGCTGTTAATGTGTGACTCCTTGCGTGCCCATCTCACAGCCGATGTGAAAAACATGGTGAAACAAATGAACGCTGTGCTTGCTGTTATTCCGGGAGGTCTGACAAAGGAACTTCAACCGCTCGACATCGGTGTGAACCGGCCGTTCAAAGTAATGCTACATTCACACCGGACGCAGCAAGAGCAGCAAAATCGCGTCTGCTGCTTCATTTTTGCTGCTTGTACCAGTTAGTTCTGAGGTGCGGCTGAAGCAGCTTTGCTGCTCTGGCTGCGCGGTGCAAAAGTGTGTCTGACGCGCTTTGGGCGGAGCAACTCTATCCTTTCTTTGCCTTTCAGCTATATTTGCTGTGATCGGTGGGAATAAAGTAGTTTTAATGTTTTTCAGTGAGAAAGTCTACCTGAAAACTTAATAATTGCAGTCAGTTCATCCAGATTACCATCCTGCCTTCCAATATTAGTTCTGTCGGAGCCGCTCAGACCCCCACATACCAGTGGTGCACTGTCTGTAGGAATCCCATTCAACAGCAGCCTCTGGCCGGGTCGCCTCCTCGCGGTTCACCGCGGCAGCTGGTAGGTGTTTTTCATCTAAATAAGCTAAACTGCAGGCACCAGGATAATAAAAGCGAACATATTTTAAGTTAATTTATGCGTCAATAAACTGTTTACGAGGAGAGATCATAGCACTCTGTGTCATCAGCGATGTGTCTGTCTCACGGCCAGCTCCCAGGTTTGATTAATACTTTGTAATAAATACATGAATAAAGCACAAACATACTCAGTTTTGCTCCAGCTCTATTTTTAAATACGCAGTAGAGGTATTTAAACGTAGTAGAGGATATTTACCGGTATATAAAACCCGCGCCCTATAATCCGGTGCGCCTTATGTGTGTGTTAAATACATTAATGGCACACATAACTGAGACTGTGCCTTTTAGTACAGTGCGCCTTATGGTCGTGAAAATACGGTACATAAAAAGTAATAAACATATGACTGTATTTTTACAATTTCTTTTTTTTTTCTTTTTTTACAGTATTTCTGAGTTGCTCAAACACATTTTTTGAAAATTTCTCTCGCTTTCCCAAAACCTTAAACACAAATCACCACACTTAAGCTACACTGTCAAAACCTTTGACTTGTCTTGCTATATCATACAATTGCTTCACAACTATGTTATCTTTACCCAAAACCAAACACTGTTTTCAGATATCACACACATCCAGCTAATGCATAAACACTACACAGCAGTCATTACACACTACAGAGATAAATGCAAAACACTGCACTCAAAGCAGAGCAGGGGAAAAATTTGATTTATTATGAAGTACTTGCACAATCCTGCACACAAATATAGTCACAAACAAAATATGCAGCAGATCGATTGCAATGTCTTGGAATCATTCTGCCTCAGCATCATGCCTCTGGGCATGGTCAGGCCACAGGACCTCATCAACGTCACAGGCAATCCTGTCCCTTGCTAAACAACGCAGAAAGAATCCTTTAGCATGACGAATCCAACCTTGAATCAATTACACTCCAATGTTGTCACATGCTGCATCCATTGACTGAAGGAGATTTTCCTGTGCATAAGGAGTTCTGTCATAGACCTTCCACCTCCATGCAGAAAAAATTCTTCAATGGGATTAAGGAAGGGCGAGTATGGTGGGAGGCACACATTTATAAAACGTGGGTTATTTTCAAACCACTCACGTATTCTAGGACCACGGTGAAAGTTAACATTGTCCCAGATTACATGGGATGCTCTGCCTGCTCATCACCTCTCTCTTCACATCTCAGTAATGCTTCCTGTAGAGCATACAGAAACGTTATAAGATGGGCAGTGTTGTAAGGTCCTAAAGTCACATGGCGGTGAATAACCCCGTAGCTGCTGATGGCAGCACATATGGTCACGTTGCCACCACGCTGCCCTTGCAACTCTACAATGGCTTGTTGACCAATAATTTTGCGGCCTCTCCTTCTCCTCTTGGTGAGATTGAAGCCAGCTTCATCCAAGAAGATGCACTCATGAGGCCTCTCCATGAAATCCAGTTGAAACATTCTCTATAGAAATGAAAAAAAGTTAATTTTTGATATTACGTAAATGACATAGCATTCCAGGCTTCATGACTCTGTATACATGTGCTGCATTACATTCAACACAGTTAAGATGTACAGTAAGTCAATAGTGCTGTATAATCTCTGGACATTAAGTATTACTTACTTTTACATATTGATATCGTAGCTCTTTTACCCTCTCAGAATTTCTCTCAAATGGTACTCTGTAGGCTTGTTTGAGACTTATCAGGTTGCGTTTCAGGACATGGTCAATTGTGGAGAGACTCACACTGTTTATTCCTTCAAAGTTCTCATTGTCTTCCTCAACTCGCTGTTGCATTTCTCGCAGACGAATGAGATTATTTTGAAGGACCATATTGACAATAATGGTCTCCTACTGTTGTGAGAATATACCTCTCCTTCCACCAGAATGTGGCAGTCTTTCAATTCTAGAATTGTACAGACAGACCTAATGCAAGGTAACCAAATATGTAAAATACACAAAATATATATTTTTATGTAATACTATTATTAGTTTTACTGTAATCCTGCAAGAAAAGGGCCAATTTTTAGAGATGTTACAGTAATTTATTGAGACATTCCACAACTGTACATACTGTACTGTAAGTTTGAGGGACCACCAATTATAGTACACTTACCGGTTGTGTTCTCTCAATGTCCTGACAATGGAGGCCACAGAGAACCTGCTTATATTTGGTTGAACACGTAGTCCTGCTTCCCTCATACTCATTCCATGAACCAGAACATGGTGTATGATTGTTGCTCTAATTTCATTGGAAATGATGGCTCTTGTTCTTCCTCCTCCTCCTCCTCCGTCTCTTCCTCCTCTGTCTCCTCCTCCTCCTCTTCCACGTCCACGTCCACTTCTACTTCCACCTTCTCTCCTGCCCTCCATTGTGAAAATCACACATGCCATTTGGTTTGGATTTGACATGGCTTTATATCCCCATTACTGATTGGGTGCAACACATTACTGATATGAAACAGGTGTGTTAAATTTTGAGTGCTTGTGTGTTACCGATGACAACAATGTGTTACTTGTATTTCACTTTTGGGGCTGTGTTGTGCCATTCTGTCGGTCTACAGCAGATAAGGAAGAGCGCAGCCTGCCAGCCAGAATTCTGACTTTGATCTCAGAATTCTGACTTTTATTTTAGAATTCTGATTTTAATCTCAAAATTCTGACTTTGACCTCAGAATTCTGACTTTTACTTTAGAATTCTGATTTTAATCTCAAAATTCTGACTTTGACCTCAGAATTCTGACTTTTACTTTGGAATGCTGACTTTAATCTCAGAATTCTGATTTTAATCTCAGAATTCTGACTTTTATTTTAGAATTCTGATTTTAATCTCAAAATTCTGACTTTGACCTCAGAATTCTGACTTTTACTTTGGAATGCTGACTTTAATCTCAGAATTCTGATTTTAATCTCAGAATTCTGACTTTTACTTTGGAATGCTGACTTTAATCTCAGAATTCTGACTTTAATCTCAGAAATTCTGACTTTTATTTTAGAATTCTGACTTTAATCTCAGAATTCTGATTTTTATTTTAGAATTCTGACTTTGACCTCAGAATTCTGACTTTTATTTTAGAATTCTGATTTTAATCTCAAAATTCTGACTTTGACCTCAGAATTCTGACTTTTATTTTAGAATTCTGACTTTAATCTCAGAATTCTGATTTTAATCTCAGAATTCTGACTTTTACTTTGGAATGCTGACTTTAATCTCAGAATTCTGACTTTAATCTCAGAAATTCTGACTTTTATTTTAGAATTCTGACTTTAATCTCAGAATTCTGATTTTTATTTTAGAATTCTGACTTTAATCTCAGAATTCTGACTTTTATTTTAGAATTCTGACTTTAATCTCAGAATTCTAACTTTGACCTCAGAATTCTGACTTTTATTTTAGAATTCTGACTTTAATCTCAGAATTCTGACTTTTATTTTAGAATGCTGACTTTAATCTCAGAATTATGAGGGGGGAAAAGTCAGAATTTCAAGATTAGTCAGAATTCTGACCTTTTTTTTCCATATTTAGCTGAAATAATATTTAAAAATCATTAAACCTTACCTTTTTCAGTGGCCCTAATCCTCTTCTGTATTTAACCTTGATATTTAGCATACAGTTTATATTTTTCTTTATCTTTATATGCATATTCATGTCTTTATTTATGTACGCAAAGATGATTTTGTTAGTTTGGTGCATTCATTTCAAGTTACCTTAACGCGTTTTTTACATTTTCCTCTTTTTTTCAGTGTGAATATTGTCAGTTTTTAAAGTATTTGAATATGCAGCACTTGGTTTACCATCCCGCTGCACGCTCATTCTTGTGACATAGTGTAATGCAGTTGCAGAGTTGTGGTGGACCTGCGGTCTACAGCAGATAAGGAAGAGCGCAGCCTGCCAGCCAACCCTATAGAGCTAACCCTAACCCTGGCAAATTCTGCTGAGTTTATCAGCGCTGTTAGAGAGAGGAGAAAGAGAAAATGCTGTTCATACCCGCGGCTGCATTATCTGCAGGTTACAACAGCGGTGTTCTTTCTATAGTGATGGAGAGGGCGCATCTTTCCCTTCCTCCACCTATTTCGCACTGGGCATGTCCTTTACTGGAGAAACTTACTAAGTTTTAAAAATAAAATTTAATAATAAAACAGAAGCCTAATTGCACGAAGCAACTAATAACAAATTAAGCTGTTGGTAAACTTTTTGGTGGAAATGAGGGAGCCTATGTCTTCATGAACTGCCCTTTTTGTTAAAAAAAAAATAGGTTGATGGATGAACTGCACACACTTCACCTCGGTCCCTTCGGCGCCCTTTTACAGATTTAATAGAAATAATCAAATTAACATTTATCTAAAAATATATATAGCCTATATTCTCTTTAGTGCCGACAGGTAATCATAAAACGATGTTAACTTGAGAAACATACTAATTTGCAGCAAATCACTAGAACAACCTTATGTGTGTATATTTGTGTGTATATTTACTTATTTAAAAGTATAGATGAAAGAATTGTAACACATAATTCAAGGGATTCTAGAAAATGAAAATAAAAAGCTATGCAATATGTCGGAAGCGGTATGAGCCTGCAGGACGGTCCTTCCTCTTATTCTGCAGAGCTTTTTTTTTTTTCTCTTAGCCTACTGCATATGAGAACAAGAAGAGTTTATCTTCACTCACTGTGTTGACTGCTGGACAGGAGAAGCTGAGGATAAACCTTTTTGGAAGTAAGTCATAAGAAAGACATATTTTTTTTTAAAGTAATAGAAGGCTAGTATATAAGTGTTATAAAAAGGCTACCACATTACCTGTTGGCTCCTATGTTAGGAAGAGAATTTAGATCTTAATTATTCTGTCATTATTGTATTTTTCTTTTAAACACATACCGTACTTGTCTATTATTTATTACAATGCCTGGTTGTTCCAGTGTTATTTTACTTTACAAGAAGTAGAAACAACGTGTTTGGTTATTATTGATGATGCAGTTCCATCCTTAAAATAACTAATCTCAATTATATTTCAAAATAAATAGACGTAAATTACTTTTCTTCTTGCATTCAAACATGCTGTTTACTATTTGCTGTCATTTTTGTTTTAAATGGAACAAAAAAGGTAATGAGATTGGACTGAATTTTAATTCTTCGACAAAGACCAATAAAAATAAAATAGCCAGATCATAACGGTTTGTTTATTTTTTCTTTTTATTATTATTATAAAAGCTCTCCAAAAAAGTAAAAAAAAAAAAAGTAAAAAAAAAAAAAAAAGAAGGAAGGAAAGTTAACGAATTGGTTGTTGTTTTTGGAGGATGTTATAAAGGACGGAAGCTCCTTTTCATGCCCTTTTGTTTTTTATTTTGGCCAAACTCAACAGGGCGTGCCCGATCCCAACATATAGCGGCTGTTTTTCTTTTAAACGATCCCCAGATGAAATATAATGTAAATATATAATTACTCAAAGCTCTTTAATAATGAAACAGTTTAGCTAAAAGGCGCACAATGTCGGATTTTATATTAGCGGAATTCAGCGCTACAAACATGCGGACGCACACTTCGCGCTGCAGACCATACGCCTTACACTGAAGTTGGCATGCGCCTTGTTTAGTCTGAATAAAGGGATATTCCGTGTCTTGTTTTCCTTTATTTCGAAATATTAATTAGCCACAGTATTCGAATAAAATGTTTTTTTGTTTGTTTGTTTTTTTACTAGTGGTGCATCTTAACACAAAACAAACTATTTTTAACCTTTTCTTATACTTACACAAAATAAATGTGTAAAGACACCAGCAGGGTTGCTTCAAATGTGATCGTTTTCAAACTACCTGTTTTTAAAAATGTTTACTTACAAGCTGAAAGTCATACCACTCCCTGTTGACTTCAGCTGTTTAACTTTAATAAGGAAAGTTTTCAGTTTGCGTTGTCTGTACTCATCCTAAATAAACAAGGGAGGCAAGGTTGCTTCAGTTGCCCCGATTTAATTTTAAGAACATAAAAAAATATTATTACTACCTAATGTGAGAGCCTGTTCGCAAACGAAGGACTAACAAAAAGATTTGTAAACTTAGAGTCCAAATTAACTTGAAAACATGACTGTAGATCCTCCCCTGTGTGGTGTCCTAATTATCATATTGTCATCACAGCGTCATGGCGCTCACTATTGATGTTGATATTGAGAAGGAACAAATGTGTAGAATAGTTTTTGCAAACTTACCCCAGATAGAAGTAATGACATAAAAAGTTAAAGGTCACAGAATACAGATGAGAAGGGGAGCAAAGAGAACACTGTCACAGCTAACATGGACTTTGCAATTATATCTCCGTCACAGGATTTTATGCATTCTTAATCAGTATGTCTTCATTAATTTATTAAGGTATAAAAATTTATTATTAAATTGTTTTTTATCAGGGTGATAGACCAACCATATCCTTTTAAACAAAGCAAAATGTCAAAAGGGCATATCTGACATATGAAGCGTGCTGAGTTTGCATAGTTTGAGGTTAACATCTGAGGGTTGTCAGTTGCATGACACCTTTGCCACGGACTAATAAAAAAGGAGTTCTGAGAATAAACTGGTTACACAAGTTTTTATGGGAAACCATGGGGCGACTCTTTCCGTTTATTTGTTGATAAAAATGTACTGCAGGGACTGCAGTGAACTTATGTGATAATGCTTGACAATAATGATTAAAATTAATATTATTCACCCAGTGTGACTAAACCTGATCCATTTTACAGAGAAAAAAATTAACAAAAGGTCCTGTCTGTGGATGAGTGGGTGGTAAAGCCATATCCCATATTTGTGAAACATAAAAATTAACCATTACAGAATTATTCAATAGTTTATATACCTCAAAATCATAAAATCTAATTAAAACAAGTTTAATCTTGAGGGGTAATAATTTAGATCTGAATATACACAAGAGGAATTAATACTAGGATTAATTAATTTATCTAATTCTTAGATTATTTTTTTATGTAATTTTGCTGAGACCTGCAGTGTTTTCTGTTCTTTGGTGTTAATCATAAATACATTTACCTTAAATGCTCATATCATTGTGCTTGGTTAACGTTGGTTAACCATAACGTTGGTTTCAGTTAAAGCCTGCTGCGTCCCCCTTTTCAAGAGAGAAAGATAAAGAGCACCGACAGAAGTTTTACCAGTCGGTACTCAACCAGAACAGGTTGATGAGTTAATTAATCCGGAAAGACACAGAGGTTCTTTCCCTGCTGTTCATTGTTTTTAACAATGTGTTTTAAGTTGTGCAAGTTGTAGCAGGTTGGCAGGCAGGGCCGGTTCTAGCCCTTTGGTTGCCCTAGGCGAGATTGAGTTTTGCGCCCCCCCCCCCCCCCCCCCCCCCCCCCCCACACACACACACACTTTTGCCGTGCGAAATACCAGTACTGTTTTCAGCGTCTGTTTAGTGATTCATTGAGTTGTGTTTACAGTTCCACAAAGAGTGCTGTGCGGTGAATTGTGCCTACAGTTGTGCAAAGTGTGTGTTACAAGTGTGTTGCAAATTGAGTGCAAAGCAGTGTTTGTTCTTTTACTTTTGTGAACTTAGTGAGTGGATTTGCTATAAGTATTAATAGTTTTAGAAATTGTGCTATAAGAATCAAGGTTGTGTTTAAGCATTCAGAAAAAACTGTAACTTAGCATGGAGTGATTTTTTATTATTTTAAATAATTTATTACACACTCAAAGTTAGGTCTGTGCAAAAACACTTTTAACCATCTGTAAGGACACTTAGGTAAAGTATAACTAAAAAACTGGATTGAATCATTGAATGAATTTATTTCAGACAATTAACAAATTTAACACACATTAAACAAATATTAAATAAATCAATTTCAGAAATTACCAAATAACAATAAAAAATAATAAATTTAAGAAATTCTTCAACCAAGGACTACATAAAAAAGTAATTGATAAACATTACATTAAATTTTCTGTTCCAGTTCAATTAAATCATTTGAACATAAATAGAAATGAGATAAACAAAATTTTCCTCTAAATAAAATATATCAGGTATATTTACCCTGATTTCTGACATTGATTAGTGATTAAAGAAAGGATTAACCCTCTACAAACAAAAGTGCTTTTATGAATACCATTACAAAATTAAAAGTTTGAAGTTGTTGTTTTTTTTTTGTTCACATATTCTATGATGAACAGCTATAACTTCATATATTTTGATGATTATTTGTACATCCCTTTTGAATACTCAATGCAGATAATCACTACAAAATATTTTATTTATATTAGTATCTTCTACCCATTCTCAAGCTAATAATATAGCACATAATTCTGCTGCATATATACTGAGAAAAAAATGATGTCAACATTAGGGATGGGGATCGTTAATATTTATTGATATCGATACCTTTATCAATACTCCTTATCGATCCGAGTCTTTATCGATACCACTATCGATACTTTTCTGTTATTTGGTGGAAAGACGATGCAACAATATTTTTTAACAGAACTGGTATTGCTTTTATTGCTTAACAAGTGAGCATAACAAAAACGTTTCTAGCCTTCAATAAACATGGCTAATGTAATAGGCCACTTCGAAATGACATAAAACTAACTAGAATATATTTTCACAATTGTTGGTTAATGTATTGTCTACTGTCACTTTTCATCATGTTTTTAGTGATTAGGAAAATATTTAACAAATAAATAATTGTATTTTAAATTAAATGTAATTTTTAATAAATGTTGGCATCAGTAGTTTAATTATATATAGAGCAATATACAACTGTATTACTCATGTTTCTTGCCAAAAACAAAATTTCCCGTTTTCTTTACGTTACACTTGAACGCATCATGATAACCTAATTGTCGTTTTACTGAGCCAATCTGAACACATCATCACGCAGCACGTCTGAAACTTTATTTACTTTTCAAGCTAACTAGCTTGTATGCTTCCGATTACAAGACGGATTTCACAATTAATATTTTTAACTGACCGGACAGGCTACAAAGTCTGTGTGCGCTTACCAGTGGTACTCTGAGTGGATGATTAAGACGGGCCCGACTGCGGCGGCAGGACGAGGAGGAGGAGTCTTTTCCGTTCAGCCATTCTCGAGTCGCGAGCAAAGTTAAGTGCCAGACTTCACTTGTTTTACTTTTAATATCTGTTTGCTTACAATTTCATTCCAAAATATTGGTGTACATGCTCGCCTATAGCAATCGCCGGCCCTGTTGGCAGGAACCGCTGCACAATCACATTTTTGTTTCTTGCTTTATAAATGAGATCTAGACCACAATGGGGTTTTACCGGATGCAGGTTTGTGCTAACAGATTTTAAGTTTCAAATTTAACAAGACAAGACACAGAATTTTCAAAATGAGTATTGATTACTTTTACACTAACATTCAAAAGTTTGGGGCCACATTGAAATGTCCTTATTTTTGAAGGAAAAGCACTGTACTTTTCAATGAAGATAGCTTTAAACTAGTCTTAACTTTGAAGAAATACACTCTATACATTGCTATTGTGGTAAATGACTATTCTAGCTGCAAATGTCTGGTTTTTGGTACAGTATCTACATAGGTGTATAGATGCCCATTTCCAGCAACTATCACTCCAGTGTTCTAATGGTACAATGTGTTTGCTCATTGGCTCAGAAGGCTAATTGATGATTAGAAAACCCTTGTGCAATCATGTTCACACATCTGAAAACAGTTTAGCTCGTTACAGAAGCTAAAAAAGTGACCTTCCTTTGAG